ACACTGTCCTGCTACTTGCTACATAATGTAATCCCACAGGGTGTCTGCTACAGCACCAGTTACCATGGTAACAGCTCTCTGGTCCAGGTCATTGACCTTATTTACTTGGAACGGAAGAGGAAGAAGAAACAGAGCAAAATTAATATATTTTCCTTCTGCGAAGGCAGATATGACTAGAAATGGTTTCTGTCTTTGTCCAACTCTCACCTGTCGTCCTTCCTGGTGACCATATGGAGGCTCTGTAGCGTGGCTGCGATGTCATGTGGACACATCCCAGTGGCCTCGCTGATGACCTTTATACTGATGTGGTCACCCTGGAAGTAAAACAACAATCAGTCGCATGAAAATCACAAAGACTGACTTCACAACACTCAGGGACTAAAACCTCTGCGTTGAGAGCAGAAATTCTTATCTGTTTCCGAATATTTTTTTCCCAATTTTTAACCGGTAAAATGATGCCCCCGGCTTTATGTCCCTAACTCATTTTCACGGTTTCACCCGAGTCTTGAAAGAGAGGAAATAGGTGTAAAGTGCCTTTTCCAAGGACACAATAGTGGGGCCTATCAAGGATTAGAACCCAGAACCTTCAGATTCTGAGTCAACAACCCTAACCACAAGACTACCTTGCCATTTAAGAAATTGTATTTGAGAAATTAAAAATGACTATACAGTTTATAATGTTAGCCATTGTTACCTTGTGTTTTGCTAAGTACTCGAGGATGGTGCTGCGCCAGTAAGCGGTGTAGCTGATGCGCCCCAGGTCAGACAGCGGTTTCTCTGGGGACCCAGGCTGGCCCTCACGCTGGGACAACAGGTAACCTGCACAGAACAACATCAATCACCTTGTTATACAATCTTTGCTGTTACTTAAAAAAAAAACAGCTACCAATTTCTGTGCCAGTTTTATCCTTCTCTGAAAATAATATAAAACATAATTCTTGTCGTCCTCTACAGTTGTACACAAAGCTTGGAGTCAACACTACAGCTTAAGCCGTGACAATTGTTCAATTCCTGTGAACAATTTCATCAGCTTGGCTGTTAGACGGGGGTTAGACGTGCTTGCACCAAGTACAAGTCTTTTTTGAAGCAGGATTTTTACGGCTGGATGCTCTTCCTAACGCCAACCCAAACCCTAGTAGGGCTTGGGCTCCCTCTAACTGAGGGGGGAAATGCATGTTAAGTGCCTTTCCCAAGGGCACAATGTCTGGGTGCATGTCCGGACATGTCTGGGTCCAACCCTGGGGATTGAACCTGGGTCTTCTTGCTTGACAGTCGGACGCTCTATCCACTACACCACACAGACGCCACACACAGACATGCTGTTTACAAAGGCCTTGTTGAGAAGACTTACTGAATTCGATGAGGAAGCGTCCAAATCCTCTCCTTTGGAAGTGTGGCATGGTCATGATACAGGACACATTGTACTTCTGTTGACTGTGTTTTTCCTGAAATATCAAAAGTCTGTTAGCCTTTTCGAAAAGATTAGTACATTCACATTATATCTTAAGATTTTTCTTGCTGTATTCCATTTTCTCACTGGAATGATCTCATTCCAGAGTTTACTATTAATATTATTAATGTTACTGAACCTTAATGTGAGTTACGGTAAAAGCAGAAACCTTAGGAGTGGTTTTATTTTCATTTTGTGTGGTAACTTCTTACTGTGAAATCATAACACTACGAATATGTGTTTTATAGTTCTATTTTACTACATGAAAACCTGCTTTTCCCTCCAACTGCAAAATAAAACCACCGCAAAAGTAAATACATTTACGGTACCTTGGAGAAGTAGCCAACGAGATGGCATCCCTTTTTGTCGTTGAAAGTCAGTACATAGAACAGGAAGGGTTCCACGTCATAGTACAGGGTTTTGTGGTCCAGAAACAGCTTGGCTAGCAGACACAGGTTCTGACAGTAGATCTGAAACAAAACAAGGAGAAGTCGTAGACATCATCCCTCCATGAAATAGCTTGTTATTTTGTAATCTTTTGGTGTATTTCAATAGAGATATTATGAGTCAAACTGTTATAGAGTTTGCGAATATACTACTGGGGATGGTACCCAGGCTACATTTGCCTGTACATGTAGGTCAATGACCAGACAAATGACCTGCAGACCAGACAAACAAGATTTATTTTCCTGCAGACTCTATAGGGGTAAAAATAGATAGGGCTGCCTGGGTCTGACCTACCAGCTGGAGGTATAAACAAAAACACTCTGTCCCAACTTTTGGGTCAAACAGACCATCCTATTATGAAGTAGGGGTGAAAAAGTGAAAATCCTTTTAAATCAAGCAATAAAAATATGCGACAACCTGCTAATGCACTCCAAAACACAAAGAGACTCAACAACTACCCACATACCAAAAATCATACCAAACCATCCCCTAGATTTTCCAAACATTCAACACAAAAAGTCCAACATTAAACATTTTGTAAATATCAAACGCAAACAGCTAGGGGACCCAAATTTAAACCACTAAACCATGGTAATAACAACTACATGCTACCTTAATATCGCACAAACAGTCCATAACGCGAAAACAACAGAATAAAAAAATTAAACTGCAGTACCAAGGTCAATCACCAGGGGCTCAAAGTCAACCTACACAATCTCCAAGGCCCCATCCATCAATCTGCCAAATATCGTACAGTTCCTTCTCACCGATCTTCAGATATCAGACCAAACATGAAACGGAGTAAAAACAGTACCCCCATTTTCATGGAGGGTAAAAACAGTACACATTGTTGGTAAACATACATAATACAAAGTTCCTTATCACTTTAACCTACAACGTTATGTTTTAAGTAGCAAATATGTATGTGTGTGGTGTGGGGGGGGGGGTCAGTCGTCCTTTCAACAGAATAACTCAAGAAGGCTTAATATATATATTAGTCTTCATATTTGATGGGTAGGTCTTGATAAGATTTAAAAATGATTAGATATTGGTCCCCCTAATGGCTTGCTATGGTACTGCAGTGGAACTTCCGGTTTTGATCTCCTGGTAAAATAGAACATTCATGACACTATCAATCACTTAGTGCTTTTTGGTTTGCCACTGCTGCTTCTTCCTTCAATGATATTATCATGCCACAAGCCCATCTGTACCTGTATCTGTATAGCCGGTATAACTGCCCTTTGGCGCAACACACCAGCTTTGCAGGTATGCTCGCAGCAACAGCTGGCTATATAATACTACACCAAATGACCTGTTACAACCAACCGTTACACATCTCACTGCAAATTGTTCCATTTTCTAAATACAGTGAGTATTATTGAATGTTGTGTGATCGTTATAAACGTTGTCTTACCTTGTTGACATTACCATCCACCTCAAAGACAGACAGGTTATCCTTGCGGTAGATTTCATTGGCCGGTGGATGGTGCCAGCCACATTTGATCTGTGGAGGTAAAACATGACGATTCATCAATCAAATCACCAACCACAACCAAACAACAGGACAAAGACATCAATTTCATGATTGAATAAGTTTGAACTTGAACAAGAAGAAAGTGCAGTGTCTTACCACATGCCTCTTGAGGATACTTCTACTCTTCATGTACTTGAGACAAAACTCACACAAGAATAACTTTGGCAACCTGCAAAAGATAGAAATGCCATCATTAATATTGGCAGGACATTTAGTAAATAAAAATTAAACCACTATAGTTCACACACTGCTTCTATACTGCGCAGTTAAGAGAAGAGTATGGCACTTGAACACACAGTGCTAGTGCGGACTAGCCCCGATATTTGACAAAATTCTACTGCTCGTGACAGACAAGAATTTTGCCCAATCTGTCACTTTTGACAGACAGAAATCGGCATGTAAACTCAGTAAAATGCCATTAAACTAAGATTAGTATACCAGCAAAATCTGTTCCTCAAAATGCAGGAAATAGCATTCCAAATCAGGAATTCAAAATTTTTCCTTTGGAAGCATTTAGCCTGAACCCTTAGATGCTCGACATGTTACAGCAATTTGAATTAAAACTAGAGAAGTAACATTTGCAAATAACATTTGCAAATTTTTACTAATACATATTCACATACATGTACTACGAGTATATCGTGACAGGAGTAGAGCAGACCATGAAATTGCAACATTATGTAACCCAACACCAGTCACCATGGTGACAGACGTCAACAAATCACGTCATTGGCCAGATCAGAGGCTAGTGTTTGGAACATAAGAGGAAGAATCTGAGTAAAAACAATATATTTTCCTTTGGTAAACATAATGATGGAAAAACAAATTTCAGGGAGGCTAACACACTGTTTGGACTACTGTAGATGGGAAGTGGCTTGTTCACTGACCTGGCGTACTCCTGTGGGTATGGCGAGGAGTACCAGGTGTGAATCTCGTGTCGACCAAACTCGATGACGGCGGGGCAGCGCGTTCCTGCCTCTATAGACAGTTCTGGAGCGATGGGTTGCATTTGCTGAAAAACAAAATCACGCTTGTTTTAACGCACTGAACCAAGATTTTACCAGCATATCCTTGGCATAACATACTACACCTGTACAAAACCAGTATTGTAGATAGCACTTTGGCACATTTCTTTTGAGGTTGTATTTGCAAATTTAAGGACAACATCCCAGCATAGTTTTTATATGTTGTGTCAGAAAAGATAAACAAAATTTTAACACAACGTTAACCAAAGATGCAATGAAAAACCCTGAAAAATCACAGAGGTGCGGTACGTTTTGCCATATGCTGATGTTATACTTCATCATGACATTGTCTTTGCTCCATCAGAGTCGTTATATGCTGCATTTCCAGGACTGTTGCTGGTGCATTGCATATTTTATGATACAAGCCTAGAAGGTAACACATCGTCACCGTTCACTACAAGTTCAAACATTAAACATACATGGGTGAGGAAACCATGTTCTCAGATATAGGTGGACATCATGTGTCTATACGTTGGAACACTGTCAGTCCATACAGTACTACCACACTCACCGTTAACGCGATTTCCTGAGCTTTCTTGAAGAGTTTCAAGTCCTCATCGTTGACTCCGGGTAGAACTGCCTTGTCGCTGCCCGACCCTGATGAAAAAACACTCCGTCATGCATTACCCTAGTCACACTGTACTACTGTACGGCTCTCATCAGAACTTGTTTCTTTACAGGACAATTGGTGAAACTTGTCCAATTCCTTGTGTTGGAAATTACAGTTTAAACTTGAGCAACAATTTGCGGCTACGGGCTTCCTGAAAATTGTATAAATGACATTGTTCACTTTATATGAGGCATAAAACTGCCACATAAAAAAATTTTTTTTGTCAGATTGGGAATTTTCTTGCAGATTTTTCTAAAACATCAAAAAACAAAAGCAGCACTTTCAGCAACTATGATTGAGCCTTATGAAAATACCAAACACGTGCACAAGCAGAAATCATATCAATGCAGATACCAAATGAAACACAATTTGTATGTTTGTAACAGTGCTGACCAGTATGATAGATGTCTACAGTCAGATTGCTGAAGCCACACACTAGATAAGTTAGTGTCTGATGAAGCATGCTCTTAGTTAGATATGAGTTAGTACTGTTGTTACTATAACTACCCATAGAGAGATCTCAATGTGGGTCTCCGATAGCAGTTTTCAACACAACACAACCTAACACTTTCTTCTTCCAGAAATTCTGAATAATATATAAAAACGAGGATATGATAAATTTCTGTTTAAACACACCAACAACTGTACTGAAACAAAGGATACAAAAATTGACTTTCATGGATTCAGAAAATATTTCCCGACTACATCAAATCACAACATATAACTTGGAAGGAACCAATTCGAACTTCAACAAAAGCTTTGATACATCCACCAAAAATAATTTCATAAATCAGCAATTTTCACCAGTCTTCATAGGTTGACCTGGATTGTATTGGTATCACTCAGACAACTCTTGTGCAACAGCCATCTCTGAATCAGTCAGTTTCAAATTCCTGTAAACGTTATCGCGAATAAATGTTGTGTGAGGTTTCTCCACCATCCAGTCTACACCGTCACAACAGATACAGACAGTACGGAGTGGAGAAAAAAAATGTCCACTTCCGTAACATAAGTTCCCACGTTTTTCAGCAAGAGGACAACTGGCGACAGTGGTCCTCCACACCACATACTCCCAGGTTATGTGTTTTGTTCACTACAGATGTGAGGAATGGAAACATTAGTGTTGAATGCTAAGCCACTCTACCTAAGTGACAGTACCAACAGAGGTTTTGTAGTAGTCATCTCAATCGCACAAACCCAGAGCTCTAAACTTCTCGACTGCACACACGAGAGAGGTGACCAAGAAAGCGTGACACTACGACCCTGTAGCTCAGAAGAAAACAGAGTTCAAGACTGAAGCAGAAAGAGCGACACTACCTACAGTGAAGTGTGTGGACAGCACACTACAAACCACCTACAGGCGGCCAAGAGCGTGGACAGAGGAAGGGAGGCATGCACCACGGCAATGTCTTCCATCTTTTTAAAACTGGGTGAGTTGGCAGTTTGTGTTAGCAGTAGTCATGACGTGGAAATGATATATAAGAGAGGTTATCAGGAAGAGATGAGAGTGCTAGACTTCTGCCAGTGCTGAACTCTGTTTTGTGCACTCAGCCGGCATGGGTTTACGACAGACTGGCCAAACAAGAGCAGTTCTTACCCAACGGTTTTCTGTCCCTTCCTCCGCCACGCCCCTTGTAGGGGCTGCCAGCGCCCGATGGTTCGGGAGCCAGCGTGTCATCCTGTCTTGACTTGGGCGCCAACATCATGACCTTATCCCGAGTTTCACCAAGCAAATCCAAAGCTGGCCCCTGCCCACAACTTTCCAAATCTGAACTTTGGAAACCCTCTTCTGAACTGAGAAAACCAAACGGCGTGTCAAAGTGTTTGTCTGGTCTACTGATCTTTTTCGGAGGGGCGTATAACGGTAGGCTCCGTTTCCTTGTTTCCCCTTGTGTAGTGAAAATGTGTGAAAGTCCGTCGAACAGACCCTTGACCTGCCCTCTTCCTGGGGTTTGATAGTGGCCCTGCGGTCGGAAGGTTGTGTCTACCAGGCCTGCGGCTGTTATGGGCTCCTCCTGACCATTGGTTCCATCATGGCTGGCACTGCCAGTCAAGATAGCCTCATCACAAGAAAGGCTAAACACATCATCATGGACACTTTGCGACCGGGACGTCTTTCTCTTGTTGCCAGGTGTAAAGAATCGGGTAAGGCCGTCAACTAAACCTTTGGGTTTAGCTGCCACAGAGCCTTCGTCACTGGACAATCTTTTATCATGACCCCCCCTCCCCTTGGAAGAGTCCTTCCTGTGAGCTGGACTACCTTGTCCCTTGGTCTTGTCCCTGATGTCTGCAAAGTAAGGCTGCTTCGATCTGGCTTGTGAACATGAAGACCCCTCTGCACCATTCTTCATCCTAAAACACACAACATGAGTGGATTGGACATTAAATTAGTGTAGGACCTTGTGGTACCCAGTGCTTGTATCCAACATTTCTGTATACAACTAGAAAGGTAACATTTGCAAAGCAAATACGTTATGTTTACCTTCACATGGTTTAGTCCAAGAAACTAGCCCTGTTTATTCTTACTAAAACGGATTCATATACATGTGTATATATATGGTGACCAGCCCGTCCAATACTGTCCTGTAACTTGCTACATAATGTAACACCACAGGTTGTTACTTCTGCACCACATCAACTATACTCACAATGGTATATGTGACGTGCTTGAGCTTTTCTTCTTGTACTTTTTCTTGATACTGTTAGCCACTTGCTTCAGTTCCTCTTGGTCATTCACAGGTTCCTGATGATCCTCACATAAACTGCACTCCCAGTTACCTACAGGCATCAACAATCCATTATATCAAGTCAAGAGAGACAGTGTGAAGTACTACTTGTCCTATTCATTCTGTTCGAGACATAAACCCATAACATTTTGAAGTGGTTTTATGAAAATCAAAATTGAATAGCAATAATGTTCTTTATTCACAATCACTTGTTTAACAAGAGCTGCCGTTTTTCCTTTCATCGGGAAATTATGACTTGTTCACTATGTTAAAAAAATATCTATGTACATCACAATTACTAAACATTTTAGACTTTACCAGTAACACCTTGAAGACATGGCCACTTGGGAAGGTTTCACTGCACTAGAGTAACTAGACCTTTTTCGTTTGGAAAAAATTATACATTCAACAGGCTTCCTTTCCTGGCCAATATGTTGGTTCTTAGTGATGCATACCTAAACACAATTTCAGGTTCAGGTCCGGATTCAAGTCCAGAGGTTTAGGTTCAGTTCCGGACTTGTAAGTCCGGACCTAAACCCATGACATATACAAAATTGCATGTTGGCAACCTTGCAATGTTGTCTGGGTGAAACTTTGGCCACATAACATGGAGGCCAGTACTTGACGATGCCCGATGGCAATGTTTTCTCTTTATTTTGCAGCAAGATTTTGCAATCTACAGAAGGTTTTAGGTGGTTTGGAAAGAAAAGGTGTATGTGAAATGGTCTTTTATGGTAATAAGTCCGGACTCGGTTCTTGACTTTTAGGTTTTTTTGGACTTGAACCTAAACATTCTTACAAGTCCGGATCCAAGTCCAGTGAACCGGTATGCATCACTATTGGTTCTACCAGTTCACAGTACCTTTAGGCATCTTGGTCAGTGGAGGGTTGCAGCATTTCATGTGAAATCCACGGTCACAGGCATCACAGAACAATATGTTGTCCTATCAAGGTACAAGAACAGAGATCAGATACAAGCATCCTGTATGTAATATAACAGGTCAGACAAAAGCATCCTAGTATACAAAACACCAAAACAGTTATAAACTGTCATATATATGGTGAGAGGAGTCCAACTTGAAAAACTCTGTCCTGCTACTTGCTACATAATGCAATCCAACACCACACGTCTCCTAGTCCTACAGCACCAGTTACCATGGTGACAACCCTCTGGTCCTGATTATCGACCTTATTTGTTTGAAGCAAAAACAATTTCCTTCTGCCAACGTTAACATAATCTACAAAGAGAATTATCTATTTTAGATGTATGCACTTACCAGATCATTTTTATTTTCACACGAAGTACAGGTCTTACAGTCGATACACTGCCACCGCATGCTGCGAACTTTCGCTGTCAGTTGTGGGGAGTACTTTAAACATGACGGATGACCTAAGAACAGACACAGATGGTTTGAGGTTAGAACCATACCCATCTACTGTAAATACAGAAACTTTTGCAGTGATTTTTTCCCACAAATTCATGACACCGTGAATTGTATTACTAGTAGTACAGTTCTAGTACTGTATTACAGAAATGTTTCAACCGTGAATTTAAAACACTGCAAAAACCTCCTCTACAATACAAGCGTGAAATACAACCACTGCAAAATTAAAGGCACTTACAGTACATTTTGTACTAATTTCCAAGAAAAGTGTTGCAGGTATACTTTGCCTGGTGCAAGTAATTTCGAATCGGAATGCATGCTGAGAAAACTATTTTGAGTACTTCAGTTTTTCTATAGTGATTTCTTCATTTAGTACTCTGTCGCTTTGTTACCAACTACCAGTAACTAATCTTTGTACATCTAAATTCAAACGATATTCAGAAATAAAACTACATGCATCTAGTGATGATGCCTCTATTGTACTTAGTGGCAGTGAGTTCCACCAGATAGTCCTAGGAAAAAATGAGTTTCCTCACCACTATTGCCACAATCTGCACAAGACAACAGCTCCTCTGCCTGGCCGTCCCTATTGCACTCTGCTGTGCCCAGGCAGAAGGAACAGACAGGCATGGGGGACGCACGCGGCTGGAACATGGTCAAGAAAAGGGTTAAGCAGTCATCATCAACGCACGATGCTTGTATTAAACACATGTAGATGTTTGTGGTTATATGTTACAGATAGCTACACAAGATTGCAGCTAACAAGTGCACACAATTTACACCGCTTTTTCAAGTTTTAAGAACGTTTTACAAGGCTTTCACATGACTATCAAAATCAACTACAATTTTATCACAATTTACATGACTTTTGCACAAGAAATAACCAAGTTAAAACTGTAAAACACATGGGAAGGGAAGTACTGCAGCTGTATACTTACTTGTACAGAACTATAGATTTACTTGTACAGTGCACATCTACTTGTACATTAGTTGTACAGTACAGACTGACTTTACTTTTCATGTACTTCCCGGAATAGAGTTGTACTTTCCCAGGTTTCACTATCCTTACCTTTTCCTCCATACTAATGACTCTGTTGGTCCTGTCTGTATCAGGCACAACAATGTCTATACTGGAAACCGACCCCGGCGAAGACGGGCTACTACTGAGATAGTCGAAACACGACGGGCCGGCGCCCAAGTCCAGTTTCTTCGCCGGCAGTCTGAGGAGCCTCCCGTCCTTCACCAGACGCCCGGCGTTCACCTCCCGTTTCGCGGCGAGCCTCAGCTGGTTGCTGAACTCGGACTTGTCTCGGAGCTCGGCATGGTGCTTTTTCCACAGGTACTTCTCAATGTTCTTGAGAATAGACCCCGACGGCTCCTGTAGCTCACAGATGGCATCCTTTAACAGGTTCACAATGTCCACCTTGTGTGCGTGAGACGAGGAACTGCGAGACTTGGACCCGGGGGACTTCTGCGGGTCCTTGTACGAGCAGACGCCCTTGTTGAAGACCTTCAGGATGGAGCCCTCTTGAACGCTGGTCTCGAGGTGTTGCAGAATAAGGTCTCTTGCTACTCGGTGACTCGCCTGTTGACCCAACACATCTCAACATCATTTCTGCTGTAATATTTTGGATCTCTAAAAATCATTTCAACAGCTTATTAATCCATACAGTACACTTCAAGCAGTTCCTATACGTGGAACAAAAGAATGTTCTGAATAGCTGAAGTACAAGAAAAAAGTCACCAAGCAGATGCAATGATAGGTGTGTAAAAGAACTCGAAGAAGCCACTAGACATTGGGACTCATGATACAGATATTGTACTGTAATTGACTAGAAAAATATTCCATTGGTATAGTATTGTAATTGCAAATTACATCACGTAATCCAAGCAAACATTGACTATATTACCTGAACAGCATTGCAGATACGCTCTTCACACGGACGCTGTTTTTGCTTCTTGATCTTGTGGATGGCCTCGAGCAGCCACTCCGTCAGGCTCTCGGACGTGACGGCCTCCCACTCGCGCTCGCGAACGACTCGTGGTGTTCTTCCCGCCACCAGAGTGTCCTCCATGGTCAATCACACGCGTACATGGTACTTTGCAAAGTCACATGGCACTCCTGCACCTGCAGTGTGGTAGAAATATGTTTCTTTCAGTGATCTGCAATATTGTACAATGTAAATGTCAGAATTTTGTACTGAAATTCGGACATACTTTCTGCATACACACAAGTCTTTACACCACATTTTTGTACAACCTTCTCAACCTAATAATACATCTATTAACATCATAATATAGTAGAGATGTGTACCTAAACTTAAGTTCAGAGTCCAGATTCAAACTCAAATTCAGAGGTTTAGGTTCTGGTCCGGACACAAAATTGCAGGTTGTTTTTCGCCTACAATTTTGAAAATGTCTCTGCAAAATGCACACAGCAGGTGGAGATTTCTCAGAATCTAACAATGAGTCATGTAATTGTAATTTGCAGTCATCTTCATAAATACAGCACTGCAGCTACATAGAATACTGTAGGTAAAGCCTACTAAAGGTAAAGCAGTCATCCAGTTGAAGCATGATACATTTTCAAAAAAGTAACAGTGCAGCTTCGCTACAGCTTATGTTTATACCCAAGCAAACCAGGTCACCCCTACCTTTCTTGCTAAGTGTGCTAGGTTCTGATACAGCTACAACAATGACCCAAATTTCATATTCATAATCCTGAGTCTTTCTGAGAAAGAAGGTTCAAAGATTAAAACCTTCTTGTTCTGACTAAACAAATGTAGAATATTATATGCTTTCTTTAATAAACAACATGTCTATATGTCTTTTTCATAAATTGCTTACATTCAACTGAATTATATAATAATTTATCATCAAAATATTATTGTCCCAAACCTTGCAATGTGCTGTATAAAGAGGAGATTACCAACACTAATGTGTAATTTTTAACACCTGTCTGGATCTAGAACCATCTGTTCCATCCGTCTTTCGGGGAAAAATTCATCTAAATTTGAACAAAAACTCACTTTCAACTGTCTTCTATACTGCAAGTCATATTACTAAGAGAGTACAGCTACTAGTATATATCTGCACATTGATGCACTGAGAATTTTTTTCATCTAGTACATGTACAGTATCTACAACATAATGAAGTTAGAAAATAAAGGTGTGAAGACAGGCATATTTTTCACCAGCATATGCATTGTAGGGCTTCTAATCTATACACAATGTAAAAATCTGACACAACACAACGCTAACATAGGGAATAACAACTCCCTAGTACCTCCGTAACACCCTGACTTGTTGATAAACAATCCGTACCCACCACACATTGTCTAGGTTGAAGAAGTACCTTTGTATGTCAACTAGAGTGTAAATTTATACAGTGACTCATGCTGCCATCCTTGACTCATGGCTGACTGATCTACATGTATATACTAAGGACAGTTCTGCATAGCATATATACTAGTAATAGACACTTCCTAAAAACATGTTGCCCCCCCCCCCTTGCAACACACAAACAAACCTTAACTTGCCAATCTGTAAAGCTTGAGAACCATTTAGACTTCATTTACTGCGTTTTTAAAGCATCTAAGTAACATATTTTAGGGATAAAGTCAAGAGTTTTTGTCGTATAGGGGTGAGTTCGGTTGATGTTTTTGTGGCTACAACATGAGTCATGACCCCATTATTGTGGTTTTGTCTTGTAACAACCAAGCAACATGGGAAACAAAGAAGGTCAACACAGATAACGAAGACGAACCAAACATTTCTACAGACTTTTGGCTGTGCATAGACAATATACGTACCCTATTGATAATCTAGGCCTCACAAAAACGTAAATTACCTCGAAAAACAGGGACCAAAATGTTGATAATTCGTGGCGTGGAGTGCTCCATGAACAAAAGCCTATCCCATCATTCCCTCATATGGGGGAGGGGGGCGATGTGATTTTACCTCACAAAACGTTCTATGCGGGCGTTATTTCACCAAAACACACCTCCAGTCCGTTTCTAACAAACTACACGGTGTGATGGTTTTATATTATGGTGCACTAAGCCAAGGGAAAGCATCGTTGTTGGGGCATATCCTCTAATCTAGGTCGAATGTTATTCGGTAATATGAGGTCGCATCACAGCTTGCTAATCTGGCGTCACGATCACGTTCCAATCAAACCATTTATGGTTACGATTCCAGGCTCTATATAAACTACGGGGCTGCCTCAGTACCCTCAACTACATTTTTCAAAAATCCAGTTATGCATTCCCAACGAGATCTGTTATCCCACAAGGTGAAAATATCAATAATTTGTCACGTTAAAATGACATGAAAACAAACCTTTGAGCTGGCAAGATGGCGGATGGAATGCCCAAGCAATTGAAGACTACCCGGAAGTGGACGTTTAACGGCTTTTTCTAGAGAATCGTTAGTTACCGGTTATGCATAGTCACTTACCTTGTAACACGCTAACGAATCAAACAGATTTGAGTGTATGATTACTTTGTTGACGGTTCTTGCACACAACTATGTTCAGAACAAAACCTTCTGTGGAACCCCAGCCAGCAACGTCAAACCGACAGTAGGGAGAATAGAGTATGGCATCAGTCGCTCAGAGTGTAATATTTATGCCTTTTGTGGGTAACCTGGTGAAAATATTAGTTGTATTTCACAAAATGTGTAACAGTATATGTGCTTGTTTGTGTTAATTGCGTAAATATCTGGAAAGTGACCGCAAAATTCCAACTATTAACGCTAAGTAGTCGACCGTACAATTAACTTCTTTCAACCAATATGGCAGAGGCCTCTGAAGGCTAGCAGATGCCAGCTATGCCAGCTAAAGAAAGGACTGGATGATTACATGCAAATATAACGTTGGCAGGTTTGGAATTCTGCATCCGAACTGTCTCCTACAAGATCGTTCGCTGATTCTAGAACGCGATAAAAAGCGTAGTTCAATGCTACGCTCTGTTTAAGTCATGTGATCCGAACTTGAACAGGTCCAATGACATGTAGTTCAGGCGCTGTACGTTTAGTGTCGTTATTATTCAGTGCTTGAAAAACAAGCCCCTGCTGTGCCCCGCCACTCATAACAATCGTTTTGGCAACGGAACGCGGGGCTGTAGGCGAGTTCACAAGAGAAACTGGCTGACAGACAGAAATTGGTCAGTTGATATGCAATGTTAGTATGTATTTTAGCTATTATATTTGCAAATAATATTTGCAAAGTTACAAAGCATGATTAGCTATACACATGTTACTTGTCTATTGCGTGATTTTTGTCTGAGCGGGCGTTTTCTATTAACGGGTAGAATTTTGAAACAAAAATATTTTCTTATACATGAAATGAGCATCTTTTTTAATCTATAGTTTTATTTGATAGGCTTGTTTACCACTTTGACATATCGCTGTATTTAGTTTTGGCCCAATACCGTGACAAGAACAACTAGAAAGGCCAATATTTGCTTTGGAGCAAATACAGCGATGGGTTCACCACATTTTACGACATGGCAGGGAAAGAATGGGAAACACAAGGGAAAACAATGATTTACATTGATATAACTATAATATGAAGTAAAATACAACTAAAACAACAGTTGGATAGCTATTCCCTACTTTATTGGTTAGGATTTTTAATTGCATAATGCAAACTGTTGATTTTCAAAATAAAAAAAAACGTCCATGCCCGGCATTCCAATGCTGGAGCAGGAAAGCTTGAAATACCTACCAAAACACTTGAATACAGACATACTGTCAGAAATGCTTCTGTGCAGGTGTTAATCAAGTTAAATCCCAACAGCCAATCAGCAAGAAGTATAGAGGAAAGCTGCATGCCTATTGGTTGATGCCCTGCATTCCATTGTGATGACTCATGCCCAAACGTGGTAAACAAGGCACACTAACACAGTAATACATTTGCTATAACACAGCCAAAAAACTCAAATAAAACCATTACTAAAA